CCAAAATCAGGAGTTAGACACTTAATCAACTGAGCCATTCAGGTGTCCCTTGGTGGAGTCTTTAGGGTTTTCTATATATAGTATCAACAAATAGTGACAGTTTTACTTCTTCCTTACCAATTTGCATGCCTTTTACTTTTTGTTGCCTGAGCTGTGGCTAGGACCTCCACTACTGTGTTGAATAGAAGTGGTGAGAGTGGATGTCCTTGTCTTGTTCCTGACCTTAGAGGAAGTGCTTTCAGTTTTTCACCATTGAGTATGATGTTAGCTGTGGGCTTTTCATATATGACTCTTACTATGTTGAGGTATGTTCCCTCCAAACCCACTTTGTTGAGAGGAAAGCATCCCAATTTTAAACTGGGTAAAAGATCTGAACCCACACCTCACAAGGAAGATAATACAGGTGGCACTTAAGCATATTAAGATATTCAACATTTTATGTCATGAGGGTGTTCTTAGTTATAGTTTATCACTGCAAAAGAGTGGAAGTTGTCCTTGAATTGAGGCTTGGATGTTTTGGTACCTCTATGCCACAAAACACTGTTCAGGTATTAAAAAGAAGGCATCAAAGTGCTGAAAGAAAAAAAACTGCCAACCAAGAATACCTGGCAAAGTTGTCTTTGAGAATTGAAGGAGAGATAGAGTTTTCCAGATAAAGAAAAGCTAAAGGAGTTCATCACCACTAGACTGGCCTTACAAGGAATGTTAAAGGGACTTCTTTAAGCTGAAATAAAAGGGCCACTAGTTAGTAACAGGAAAACACAGGAAAATGTAAATCTCACTGGTAAAGGTAAACACATAGTAACAGAATAATCTAATGTTGCAAAGGTGTTGGGTTAATGACTTATAAAGCTTGTGTGAAGGTTAAAAGACAAAAGCAATATTAACTGTAACTATAATTTGTTAATGGATAAAGAAGATAAAAAGATGTAAATTGTGACATCAAAGATGTAAAATCTGGGAACTGGTTTTAAAATTGTAGAGCTTTAGAATGCATCCAAACTAAAGTTATCAACTTAAGATAGACTGTTATAAAAAGAAGGCAGCTTATATGTGGAATGACCACCAAGGTATTAAGTAGAAAAAAAAAAAGCAAGATGCCACTGTCTGGGTAAAATGAGCAAAGGAATCTGCACATGTAAGTACTTGTATAATCATCAACGATCTTTGCAAGAATACCCAATAGAATATGTAAAAATGGTTCCTTCTGGGATAGGTTGAATTTGATCTTTTTGAACTCTTCTAACATATTCATGAATTGACTTTTCAAAAAAACTTAAAAATTTTAGGTATCTAATAAAAGTGAACAGTATTTTGGGGTGGCTCAGTTGTTAAGCATCTGCCTTCGGCTCAGGTCATGATCCCAGGGTTCTGGGATTGAGTCCCGCATCAGGCTCCCTGCTCGGCAGGAAGCCTGCTTCTCCCTCTCCCGCTCCCTCTGCTTGTGTTTCCTCTCTCACTGTGTCTCTCTCTGTCAAAATAAATAAAATTTTTAAAAAAGTGAACAGTATTTTATATTTAGAAATGGAAACTTCACTTTTGTTCAATTTGATTGGAAAAGAGCCTCAGAATCTTCTCTTAAGCAAATACAAAGTGGGTATTTATTTTCATTAAGTTAATCTTAAGTAATTTCCTGAATATATAGGTTGATGTTTTCTGGTTGGGTAATAAAAATTGGGTTGAGTCAGATCTGGTTTACTTCTTAGGAGAGATCAAAAAGATGGGGAAGGGTACTGTACAAGGAAGAGAAATGCTTGGATGGCTGTGAATAGATGTCCTTTGGAATCTGATGGTGGTGGGATTTTTTTTGTTTTCAGGGATATATTTTGGGGCGTATGTATATTAGATAACAAGGGAGAGAAAAAGCTAAAAAAGTGATTTTCCTGAGAGAATTTTGAGATTCTGGATATGAGCAGTGTTGTTTTAGGGCCAGAAGGTTCTTTTCAAAATTCAGCTCCAGTCATGTCACCCCTTACTTAAAGCCTTCATTGCTTTTTGACAGATAAAATTCTTTTTTTTTTTTTGTAGTTTTTAATTTTATTATGTTACGTTAGTCACCATACAATACATCATTAGTTTTTGATGTAGTGATCCACGATCCATTGTTTTCGTATAACACCCAGTGCTCCATGCAGTACCTGCCCTCCTTAATACCCATCACCGGGCTAACCAATCCCCCCTTCCCCTCCC